CCCCCCCCCCCCCCCCCCGGATTCTAAGCCACAACTGACAATTCTCTACAATCTATTCTTATTGCATCTACTAAAAATGACTACATCTTCTGAAAAAATGTCTTTTTAACACAGAATGTGGAAAGTCATTCCAACTGAGGTATATTGAGGGAAGAGGTATAATAAGGTATTCTGGGGGAGATATGTACACATGCTCAATTGTATTTTTGATATGCTCCTGAAAACTCTCTGATCCAGATGCAGCAAATATAAAGAACTAAATTTTACAAGGGGCTATGAATGTCCTTTTTTTACTCCCACTACACTCAACAGGATGTTTAGTATGTGACAAATCCCTCAAAACAGAAAAACACTCAAGACCCCAGTCAGGAGTGGCCATAAGGAGGAAATGAGGTTAAAGCTCTTTCCAAATATTTCCTTCCCATATTATAGATTAAATTTGTGAACATCACCGGACAAAAAGCTAAGATGATCTGAAAAGGCAAATGTATGGAGTCTGTGGACCTGCTTTTTTTTTTTTTTTTCTTAAAAAAAATTTAAATCGAATTTCCATGAAGGTGTGAAGGGGACTGAACTTACCGCATTCCTTGATATCTCAAACATATGACTTAGTTCTCTGACATTTTGCCATTTGTAAAATGAAGAACATCTTTTACTGATGCTGTAAATAGTACAGGCAAATTAGATGCTATCAAAAACCCCATGAAACATTCAAAGCAGCATCAGCATCTGCTTTGCAGACAATATATTGTAAACTGAAGTTTCCTCTGCTTTCTTACAGGAGAGATTTTTATGTACGTTCATTGTATTTGCAGAGCTTTCTTTTCCAATGCAGTGTCAATTGAATGGTTATACACTATAAATCTTAGCAGGCATACAAACACACAGAGAAATAATACAGACTCAAATACGCTTAAGCATGGGATATGTATACTGGAGCAAAATTGGACATAGTTAATAGAGGTTTCCTGGTAACAGAACTGCTGTAATAGGAATTTTTATTCACATATAGTTTAGCAGGCATGCTCAGGGTGTCATGCTCAGTTCTGCAATGTAAAGCTGACAGCAAGATGCAATGCACAATAACACTGCATGTTTCCAAGGGAGATCTCTGCTGTGTCTTCCTTGGTTCTCTTTTAGCATAGCTGTCTGCAGTTCTTTACATTTTCAAATTTAAGCTCATGAATACATGACCCCCAAGAGGAGTAAGTGTCATTGGTATGAATTTTAGGAATCAGGAAAAAAAAACAAAGACGTTTGCAGTGATGTTCATCAATGCTGGCTGCCTCCTTTTGGGATGTTCAGTGGGTTATTACATTCTGCACTTTCAAAGACCATCAAAGGTCTTGAGCCATCTGGAATCAGCAGGCCTGTGTAGGTACTCATTACTTTTGAAAATTAAGTCCATGGTTTCAGCTGAGCATCCAAACAGCAAAACTCATATATATTTAGAAAGTATTCTTCAGGCTTGCTTGCCAGTGAGAAACAGATGATACCAAAGGAACTCCTAGATAAATTTGCTTAGAACTTTTTGGACAATGTTTGGCATTGATCCTAAATCTTTGCAGAGATGTACCCATTAAGTTTTCCTTAAGTGAGCTGTACAGATTTGCAGTACTTAGGAGGAGAAAAGAAAAAGCAAGCAACAAGGACCAAAGGCTTTCAGTTTACAGAGAGTGGAAGAGCAAAGTATAGTTCACAGCTGCCCAGAAGTGTCTGTGTGGACACTTTTGGTTTATGGCACCTCAGTAGACAGATAGCAACTGATTCCTGTTTTGTTGACATCACATCTTGGATAAAGGGTTGGGATGAGGAAAAAGTCAGGTTTTGATGCCCATTCAGCCTGATTTGGAAGGGGTTTTTTTCCACATCTGATACCAATGCCTAACCTTCTATATTACACTAGACATCAAAATCAGAGAAGCTATTAAGAAACTGGTGTTTGCCATCTAGGCAGCTTTACCACAGTTAGGGAGTAAAACTGTACTGTATGTATCATCTTCTCATGCTAGCGTCCAGGCATCAGGACAGTGTTCAGCTGTCTGGGTTTTGCCCTTCCACCTCTCATTTTTATGCTGCATGTTGGATTATTCCCTTCCCACCTTTCCCTTTCTCCCACATGCTTCTTTAACTTATGTTTCTTCCTTTGATCTGTTAGCATCTAGACTTCTCCATCATAAAGCAGAGAGCTTTAAATTCATCATGTGACACTGACGCAACACCTTCAAACCACATATCCTACCAGATAAGGCTCCTTTGAAACACAAGATCAAGAGTTAGGCACTGATGTATTTCCACAGATCTGAGATTTAGAAACTTGCAAATACCCCCTGAGACCTCTTTATATGCACCCAAAGAACAAAAGATTTTCGTGGTGTTGAGACAAACAGCTCCAATGAAGTTTGGTGAAGCCTAAACAGGAGTACAAAAGAAGGAGAGATGAAGAAACAGTATCTGGAAATTTCCGTATTCATAATCCAATGACATTTCAGGAATCAGCAAAGGTCTGTGCTTCTTGAATTAGAAGCTTTATTTGAATATGTTTTAGACAGAATTTGGCTTGGACCTTAGTTCAGCTTTTGCCACTTGTTTCTTGCCAAATTTCTGTCCAAGGTTTCACACCAGTACTCTGTCCTTACCCTTCATTCATGTCCCTGATCTTCTGTACACCCTGGGAAGCATAGATGGGGGCAAAGGAAACAAGACGGATGGTTACATTAACACCTAACTCGCATTTGCACTGAATAAAGGTGAAAGAAAAGGATGGCACCTCTAATGGGCTACCACGGCAAAAGCCACATAAACCCCAGGTGAAGGCCACCTGAGAAAGAAGCTCTTAAATGATAAGTATTTCATACTATGTCAGAACCTAAGATAAACGGGGATAAGACAGGGAAAGAGATGCATTTTTTTGGCGACATTCCAAGAAAGGAACTGTGAAGCTTTAGGTACAAGTATTGTAGTTCAAACCCTTCAAGACAGAGATTGATATTCATAACAATCAGTAAAAGAAATATTAAAATCAGTTA